TTTTACAGCATTTCAAATTTTCTTGAAGCTCTCTTGGGCCCTCCCTGCAGATCCTTGCGAGCCTCCCCGGCGCTTTCGGTGGCTTTCCCCGATGGCCTCCCGAGCCCTTCCCCGAGCGCTCCTGAGACGCCTCAGATGGGCTTCGACTTCGACGCCCATCCCCGAGAGACTTCGAAGCTGTCCTCAATAGGAGGGGGGTGAACGGGCAGTGCGCTGGGCCAAGCTGCTGGAGCGCCGCAAGAGCTCGGACACGAAGGCGCGGTCTCGCTGCCGCCGCCCGAGCCGCCGCCGTGTTTGTAGATTTTCGGTACAATCTGCGCCGTTCCTCCGAGAACCATTCCAGGAAGATGTCGTGGACGGAGTCCACGGGTCAGCCCTAGTCACCTACAGCGCTGGGATCAGCGCGTGCGAGAAGGGCGAGGTATGGCAGCCGGCGCTGGTGCTGCTGAGCGAGATGCGGGAGGCGAAGCTGGAGCCTAACGTCATCTTACCTACATTGCCGGCATACGTGCTTGCGAAAAGGGCCTGTCAATCAAAACCCGGGAAATCGCTCCCGGGCGCCTCCGGCAAGCTCAAGGACGAAATTCAACGCGCCCTCTTCGCCCGAGGACGAGATTTCGTGCGAACGTGCCGTGTTAAATTTTGCCCGCGCCCCTAAGGGGCCGAGCGCTGAGGCCCGGCCCTGGCGCGGACAAGATTGAACACGCTGCCCAGGCGTTGAATCTTGTCCTCCGGCACAAACGGACGCGCCGAGTCGCCCGAATTTTCGGAATCCGAGGGCTCCAGCGACAGTCCGAAGAGGCCAAAACCATGCCTTTCCTTCCAGTTTTTATTCATTTTTATTTTTATTTATTTATTTATATTTATATATATATATATATACTTCCAGTTTTTGTTCAGGCTCCGGCCGCCGACGATGCCCGCAGGGAGCCCCAGAATGGCTCCAGACGGCCCCAGACACCCTCAAGGATAACCCTAAGACGCCCGAGGAGCCTGCAGACGCCGCCTACGACAGCTCCGACCCGTGCCCATGGATGCCCACCAAGGCCGCCACAGTGCACAGCATGACCGCCCGAGGGCGAAATTTGACGTCTGGGCCCGAGGACGAGTCTTTACGTGAGGGTCCCGCGCTTTTTGAGCTTGAGGACAAAATTCTAGACGCTTCGCGTATCCCCACCAGTTGATTGACCCGCCCGCTGGAATCGTCTTTTGGGCCGCAGATCAAAAAAGTATCCCCACCAGCCCTCCTGGCGTCAATTCCTTGGCCGACGGTCCTTTGGACCACCCTGGTTCTCGCGCTTCGCCGACGTCCGGGGCTTCGCTTTTGCATTTCTCTTTCCGATCTCGACCGACGGTTCGTTGGCCACGGCCACCCTGGTGCCCACGCAGTCGACTGAGGTACCGTATCGCGCTTTCTCTCGGAGATGTCCCTGATCGTCGTTGACTTTCCGACTTATGGCGCATCCGACGGATTTGCAGCTTTGCGCGCTGGCAGTTCCCCTCAGTCTCAGTCCTCTCAGCCACCCACCTGAGGACTCGGCCGGCGCGTAGCTGTTGCCTCGCGCGTTGCTTTACTCTTTTTTTTTCTCGCGTTTCCTCTGCCTAATTAGTCTCTGCGTAGCCCGCTTTGACCTGACTCGCCGCCGGCGCGCTCGCCCGCGGCCGTTGACTAAAAAGTGATCCCCGCCAGCCCGTCCAGAAATGAGTCCCAGGGGGGTGGAGGTTATGAGGGAAGTGGGGGAGCATGCTGAAGAACAAAGGGCGGGGTGAGCCGCCATATGCCCCAAGAGGGGGAGGATGTAGGAGGAGCCGTCGTCGTCGGAGTAGGAGGAGTAAGAGGAGGAGCAGAAAGAGGAGCAGGAGCAGGAGGGGGAGGAGGAGGAGGAGAAGGAAGATGAGGAGGAGGAAATGGAGGACTGCGAGGACGAGGAGGACGAGAAGGAGGAAAAGGAGAAGGAGGAGGAGGAGGAGGAGGAGGAGGG